ATTATGTTTTTTAACTTATAGAGACAAACAAAATGCATTTGTCTAGTATTTTTAGCACTTGTTTAGCAATTTTATTTAATATTTTATATCTTACTGATATATTGTTATTTTCCATACAATGCGTATTTTTCTTGTGTGTGGAGTTTTTCTCTTTCTCATTTTTTGAAAATTGCAAAGGACAAAACGCAATTTGTCATTCTACTCTTCAAATATAGATATAATGATTATTTGTACAAATCGAAATTGTTAAATAAATAAATTCAAATTTTGTTACAAATAATTTGCTTACTTTTTATGATCATTCCTCCTCTTTCACAAAAAAAAAATATATATATATTTTCTATAGTAAAATACATACGTATATGAGATCGTATTTAATAAATTTTGATTTTTATCGACTTAAATAATTTTGTCTAAATGCTTTATATTCTTTTAACAATGTTATCGCAAATACATGAATTTAATTAAAAATATGTGAATACAAAGATTCGAGATAAGTAGACATATATAAATAGCGAAATTAATGATTAAAATTTCTGAAAAAAACTGAAAAATAAGAAATTGTTAAATTTAAACATATAATAAGTTGTTAAGTATAAAAATAATTCTTTAAAATATCACTATTTTTGGGTTAGGATCATCTTGAGCGGTCGATACCCGAGACACTTTTGTACCTATACATATGAACCTGTACATATGAAAAATTACAATAACGCATGTACTTTATTATTATTAAATATAAGCATCCCTTCGTAACCCTTATTCCACAAGAAAATTATTCTATCCATTTATTTTTCATAAAAGATGATTTTTAGCAATGTGTCATAATATATTTTCTTACACGCGAATTTTAATATAATATTATATTAAAGACGCGATAAAAATGGTAATTGTAATTCACATTCTGTCAAATAATCATTATTATAATAAGCGGTCTAGAAAATTTGGAATTTACACCCTCCTGTAAACACTATTGAAATTTGATGGATAGTATAATATAACTTTTCTTTGCGGATAGATCTTATGAATTTTACGTGGAATCAGTATACATTAAATACTTTCCATCATAAAGATTACTCCCTTTGTATTGGATGCTAACCAACATATCAAAAGTAAATTTGTCAAAATTTACCATATAAATTTTAATAAATTTTATAATTGCAAGTTAACAATTAAAAGTAAATACAGTTTATTTGTTGTTAATATTTTATTCCGTTTATCGATATTGCAGTAATGATTGTGTTATCTGGTATATATATTTTTAACGTTTTCGTATAATCTCGCATTTTTAATTTTTTGATTATGCTACTACGAAATAATATCATTTTTATTGTATTTTGAATGGCAATTATAATTGTGTATCTTGTTAAATATATCAGAATTTCGTTAATTGGATAAATTTTTCTTATTAACTAATCGTAGAATATCTTATTGATCAAACATGTCTTTTTGTTAATTATTAAGGCATTTCGTTTTATGCATAATGTATTATTTCTCCGATGTTGTTCATCGAATGTAAACAAGGATAAATGATGGATGATTTGGGCGCATCATGCATCCATAATCTATAAAGTACTTAGAAAGTAATATGGTAACACAGAAAAATTCAAATTAATGTTATTGTTATAACTTTCAAATTTCTATTCATTTTTCTCAAAATTATATTGATGACGGAAAAAGAAAACGTTTTTTCGTCAGTCATGATACATATCATTTTGTTCCAATTCACTACAGGAAACAACACAACGACATCAAACAATATAGTATATTTGCCTGATTTGTGTCGATTGACACAATAATTGCACTACTAAAGCGCTGAGATTAAAATAACTAATTGTTATCATCATTTATTTGATCGATTGAAAACAAATTTCCCAACCAAACTGAAAAATATTAAACAAATCCTTATAATAATGTAATAAATAATATAATACTTATAATAT